ATTTGCTATCATGAATCCCGATATCCCTTGAACCCGCAGCCAAGCAGATTCCTTGCCCTCCACGAAGACTGTGCGATAAGCCCAGGGCAGGAGCTGCAATCAGACACCTGCAACCTCACAGGTCGCCCAGCACAGCCAACCTGGAGCCTGTGTCCACGCCAGGGTCAGCAAAGCAAGAGGTCAAAATGAAAAGATGCATCGCCATTCTCCCAAGATGAAATGTCTCACCTCTTTCTTAGAAAAATGGATGTTATACAGGTTTCTTCCCTTGCACTTATCCAAAAAAACAAAACACAAACAACCCTAGCTTACTGGCGCTTCACCCCCAATAAGGCGGGCAGTGGTAGGGTTAATGATCCCATGGGTGATGCACAGAGAATTGTTATCTCTGAGATATACTGAGTTCCAGACAAGCAGGGAGATCAGAATGGCAACAGGCATTGTGCTAGAATCTGAACTGTTTACTTTGGTTCTGTTTCACAGCTGGGGTAAAATACACTCTTTAATCACAGCGAGAGGTAGATACCGCTCTCACGGTTCTGCAGATCAAAGCCCCAAGGCTCAGTGTTTGAATGAAACCCACGTTGCAAAACTTACACTTCAGACTGGACTCCTCCCCACCTCTGAGGAGCTTTCTCACACTGGGGACTTCATTAGAGCCTGTCCATCACTTACTTCCCTGTGTTTTTTCTAAAATCCAGTCCACGTCCTCAGCAACTTTGGTGTAGACACCTGGTTGTTCCCTGTGGCCACAGTCTTCATCCCAACTGGTAATGCCCACCAACTGCCATATTCCATGGTGTTTACAAATCAATGGGCCTCCTGAATCTCCCCCTGTCACAGTGGGCAGAAAAAGAAAGTGAGAGAAGGTTATGACAGATGTACCTTTAACATTCTGTAGTCACACCACATACCACACACCACACACATCCAATTTCTTATAGATCTTTAGTCATGTAATATAGCTTATTATCTGTTGGACATGGTGAAAATTATGTAATTCAATAATGTATTGTCTGACAAAGAAATGTTGACATCTTCATTTCACTGTCAGATATGCCTAATATTCAGCCAATCAATGATTACCTCTCATCATTGATGTTTCTATTCTTTCTTCCTCTCCCTTCCTCTCTGAAATCAATAAAACCATATTGTTTTTAA